AGAGTTTCACAGCACTTGCAACACAATATGGTCATATAAGTGCCGAAGATTAGAGGTGTTACAAGAGAGTAATAAACTCAATAAAGAAGGAGGAGATGATCAGGAAAACAAATGTTTGACAGGAAGGAAGGAGCAAACCACACCAGAGCACCTATCAAAACATGCGAAAAAACACTTGAGTAGTTGACAAGAGAGAAAAATACTTAATCTCAGCATCTTTATAGATGTAATAATAATAACAATATCAATAATAATAGATGGAAAGTATAATTATTTGTACAGCGCAAATTCCTGTTCAACAGCAAGCTTTATGTGCTTTTCAATCTATATTTATTACTCCAGCAGACCTAAGCTGACAAAACACCTTTTTCCATTTTTGGCACCAATTTTTTTCTATTTGCTAAATCGATAGCCTGATCAATTACCCTACTTGTGTGAAAAAATCAAAGTGAAACTATCACCAGTTATGAATAAATCATAATTCAAATTTCTGAAGAACACCTTTTTTAAATAGTTACAATGACAAAACTCATTTTTATCCCAGGACTGCAGTGAATTTATAAAAAGTGTTTTGTCAGCGTACGGCAGACCTGCAGAGCAAGTACAGGAGTCAATGATTTTTCTACTGCCCCAGTTGTAAGCGAAAATGATAATAAGTCCTAGGAAGAGACATGAGACTTTGGAGAGATCCGAAGGAAATATTATAAATGCAAGAAATTGCAGGATATTTTCTCCGTCGTTGTTCCCAACGGAATTTTAAATTCTATAAAGGCCATTGGCCTTTATGGCGAGTTGTAGAGTGAATTTGATATTATTAAAAATTTTTATTGTTACTTAAAAGTTGTTTTAGATCACAAATGTATTTACCCCGAATTTGAATATTTTAACCTTTTAGCATTTTAAAGTAAATTAGTTACCAGTCGTGAAGTGAACTTTCGCAGAGGTGAACAACTTGTGTTTCGCGCGCTCATATGACCTTAGCAGTTGCGAGCGCCGTAAAACCTTATACTATACATACACACACAAAGAAAAGAAACATAACACCCAAGAACCATATTCTGTCATAAGAACATAACTGAACATAATTATATTTTCATGGGAAAAAGTAAAAGCACAACATACCATTATGTCCTTACTATAAATTCTCAAGTTAATTTTGGTTCTTTCAAGTAAAGACTTTTAAATCTTAAAGCCATCAAGCACAGTAAATTCTAACAAGCGTGAACTAATGTTTGTAAGTTTAAATTTTGTAAAATATTACACAGAGAGGAGAAAGTACTTAATCCATAGACAGTATGTATTTCGTCATGTACGAGTCAATAACATATGTGAGGAATTGTGGTGAAATCAGGCATTCTTCAAAGTAAGGAAAATAAAAAGATACCTCTGCATTTTTTCACCGGTTTGTCAATTATTATCGAGTTTTGGGGGGTTTTTTTGTTCAACACTTTTTGTGTCCATTAAAAAACATATTTCAGAGTGGATTTTACTAAAAACATAAATTAAAGGCACAAAAATTGTAAAAGTTGTTTCCAAGGACTTTGAAGCAATGGAACTCACCAAACTTTGGCAGCCATTTACTCGCTAATTTAACCTCTGAAACCAGGCGCGATTAATTCCTAAAATCACAAAAATATCAGACTTCTATTCAAGATAGACGGACATTTCGTTCATCCAAAGACAGAAAAATGAAAAGCTTAAGGAACTCCACATGCCTAAAAATTGACAAGTGCCCGATTCCACTGCATCGTGACTCATATATATGGTCGCTTTTAAGGACAAGCGGGCTAACCCAGATTTCGGGGGTTTCCAGAAATCTTCACCTACACCAAAAGTGGGCATTGCCCAACCTATAGGAGAAGTTTGGTTTCTCAGGTGTGTATGTTTGTTTGGTTATAGAGAAAACTCTCCTTGTATTATTAAAAAACTGAACAGGGGGCAAAAACCTTACCTTCAATTTTCTCAAAACAGCATTTTTTAGGATAGCCCTGTGGTGCTTAAAAGCAACCATATTATTGTGTGTGTTTGTGTGGGGAAATCCGGTAATATATAAGAAACTATTATCAGTTGAAAAAGCAACTTATGCATTTAATGTATGACAAGCACAACAGACCCCACAAAATGAGTAAGCAAATCATCAGCTCCTCCCATCCCACCCCACCCCACCTACCCTCCTCTTGATTGCCTCTTTTTTGTATTTTAGATTGCTCAACTTCAAAATCCCATATCTATGTACAACAAATATTTTACACACATAATATCATAAGTTAGCACACCATCCATCCACCCACTGTTCCAGTCGTCACAAGTGATCAGAGAAAGCAGTTTGAACCCAAAAAAATCCCATCAGAAGTAGACCATATACAAATCAGAAACATAAATTTGCAGATTTCATAGTAAGATGAGCATGTCGTTGCCTCCCTTTCTAAGTTTAAGATTTTTAAAAAAGAATTGAAAAATTTGTACGAAAAACAAAGAGCTTTTTTTTAAAGTGCTCCAACACAGTGCCTCTTCAAGCATTGCCAAAGGACCAGAAAGTGCATCCTAAATGAGATAACTATATAACTTCTTTTACAACACACCAGTTGTAGTTAAAATGAATCAACAAGATAAGGGTCACTTTTAAGGGAAAAGGATCAGGAAAACAGTCAGAATAAAAACAAGCATGAGTAGTTCACAGTTCACCCACCTGTAAACTCCTTTCTACTTAATGAAAGCGCACGGATTTTAGTTCAAAGGCACAAGGTTCATACACTTGCTAAACTATAACGGATAAAATTGATATAAGTAAATCTTTCAAATAGAATAGAAACGCATAGGTGATATACAGAAAAACATGCATAATGAAAGCGCAATGACTTGGACTGTTCTATACGGTTACTTAGTACACTTTTAACATAACAAATTTGATCGATGTCTCATATTGAAGAGCTGCCACTGGGAAATTTCTGCGGAGAAATCACAGACTTAAATCACACTATCCGAGACCAGGCTCTGTCGTGGCCACCGCTCTTTATTTTTTGTAAGAACTTCACAGCACTGGTGTGCACCATGTGTGCGCAAATAGAGTGCAAAACACCAGTCTCGCTATAGTCAAAGACAGTACATAACAAGAGGGTCCACTCAGTCAAAAAAGTGTCAGCGGAAGTCTGCTCATTGCTTCAGATGGTGCTGCAGTCTGTTTAGAAGCTCTCTTTCGCTTCTCCAGAAAAAGAATAGGAATAGCACCTTCTTGCGAGTGCAGATCGACTGCTGTTGATAAGCTGTTCGGGTTCGTTCAGTGCGGAGTTTTAGGGTTTTTTATTTTAATGACCTCTCGTCTCTCATTCTAAAGTCAAATTAAATGAAGAAAACAGTCGCCTCTTCCTCAGGGAAAGGATTTTTGTCAGCGCAACCATTTGTAAAAAGCGTTCTAACGAAATTTGAATTTTTATTTATTCAAAAACTTGTTAGTTTCACTTTGAATTTTTTCACACAAGTAGGGTAACTCTGTTCGCAAAGGGTGCGTATTTGCGAAGAGGGCACCACCAAATTTTGAGGACACTTTTTTAATTGGCTCCAAGAGAGGAGTGGACCATCTTGTTATGTATCATCATTGCTATAGTCGAGAGCACATGCAACTATTTCCTTCTTGCCCTCCATTAGTCAAATGGTGCGTCCCATGGTGAAAAAAATTACATCAGAGTGGCTCGTCTTGGATGTAATAATACAAGTCTATGGAAGAAAGCCACAGAATAGCAAGACAAAAACAGGTGTCACTGAGTTCCTCAAACATCAGCTGGACTGAACAAAGACAACTAGCCAGGGAATTAGCAAGAGTCTTATTCAGCAGATTCACAGCCATATTCTTGCCAGTATCTTTCACACACAGGCATGCACGCTTGTACCGACGCGCGCACGTGAATGCACGCACGCATGCATGCACGCATGTACACACGCACGCACACACACGCACACACACACACACACACACACACACACACAAATGCACACACATGCACACATACCCACATACATACACACAGACAGATGCGCACTTCTTCACATATTCAAAAAAACAAATACTGGCACCTCTCAAAAACAAGTAAAGAAGCTGCCATCAAGTTTGCCACTTTGTTCCAGTTAAAGAAAACCATATCAACCTATAAGTAATCAAATTCAGAAATAATTTTTAAAAGCAAAACAACAGACAGAAGAAAAAAAATTTTTTTTTAAAAACAGGAGGAAAAAGGTATGACAAACCACCCGCATACTCCTATCATCAATATCAGTAATTATTTTTTTATTTATTTTTTTT